GGAGACAGCAGGAAACACATCCACGTAACGAGTAGACCAGACAAAAGGGAAACTTAACAGGCAGGAACTTAAATACAAGGGTAATTAATAGAACACAGCTGAACGGAATCATAATTAAACTAAACAAGGACAGGAAAATGACCAAATAAGGAAACACAGAAAGGCACATGAGGAGCAAAACACACAAAACACGGACCAGAGTCTGACAAATTTATAGTAAATACTATAGTGTTTTTGAACCATACTATAGTAAAGTACTTGAATTAATTTGTTGTGGTAATTCTATAGTTGCTGTGGTAATATAACAACTATAGTAATATAAACAAATTACTTTACCCAATACTGTACTAAGTTTTCTACAACTATAGGGTATATTATTATACTACAATACACAACAGTTTACTGTAGTAAAAACTAAAGTATACTATAGTATTTATTAGTTTATCAGTTTACTATAGTTAATACTACAGTATGCTGTAGCATTCATTAACAAAGTGTTGTAAATACTATAATATATACAGTATAATACACTTTACTATAGTATGGTTCAAAACACTATAGTATTTGCTATAAATTACTATAGTATTTTTTCACGTGGGTGTACTACTATATATTACTATATGTAACGTCTGCAGGTTTACATAGAATTTGTTTCTTTATTAAATATTTGGACAAATGTAAAACTGCTTTGCAGCTATCAATAAGACTGCAGAGATACTACATGGAATATTTCTTATAATGTGTGCACACAAAAGCGAAGCAAATATTTGCATCATGTTATTGCTCTAGATTTCCCTTGGGATGTTTTTCGTGTCACTTGTGTGAATAAAAACATTGCGTAATGCTCTTCTCCATTTTCTGATACAACAAGACATGTCAAACCGGATGTGTCAATAAGCTCATGGCTGATTGGCTTGCGCGACAACGCGTCATGCAAATTTTCTGTTTGAGTTTAAACTTTTCAACTTGCGCGAAACACGCAATTGAGGTGTATATCGCACGTTCGCAGCAATCGCGTTGCTCAATTCGCGTCATTCACGTTGCCCGGCGCAAATTTGCATCTATTCGCATCTTTGCATTGACTTTGTATGTAATCTACCCATGCAAATAATTACATTCGCTTTTGGTGCACACACACCATTAAAAAAAACGTCACACCACACTTATACATTTTTATAGTATTTAGCTAAGTATTTTTAAAAATTTAATATTAATGAATATTAATTTTATTAATATTTATGCATGTTTATTTATTAATTTTCATTATGACAATTAACTTCTTTTGTAGTTTCTGTAGAATTTGTTTATTGGAAGTAATTTTAATAATTTAATAAATTTAATAATGCCTTCAGCTACCAGTAAGAGTGTAGTTACTTTTTTTAACACCATGTTTGAATCAATTCTGTAGCTTTCCCCCAAAATCAGTTGAGAAAATGCTTAATGCATATTCAGTCTGGACCTGGTTATGACTCAAATGAACCTTTTCATTCAAATTAATCATTTCTTTCAATTAACTTGATTAAAAATGGTGAAATCATAGATGGATGGATGCATATACTATCCCAGTGCAACTTTTCTCACCTCGATACTGAAGTAACCCCGGTCCACATAGTCACCCAGGAAGAGGTATCGTGTCGTGGCTGGAGAGCCTCCCACCTCAAACAGTTTCATCAGGTCGAAAAACTGCCCATGGATGTCACCGCACACTGCATAAAGAAAGAGAAAGACAGAGGAAAATATTGACTCGCTGAGCTGGATGCAAACAGCCTCAGCTGTTTGTTCAATATACAGGATATACAAACATTAATCCATGGCGGATTCATACAGCCATAGCTATTAAAATCATACTGTAACTGCAGCTCAATGACAGCTGTGCACATCTGGGAGAGTGAACCTATATGAAACATAGCTGGCCTGAAAATCTACGTTAGTCCTTTGCAACACAATTCTCTCTCTGTGAGAGAGAGAGGGAGCGAAATGCAAACTCCTGTTGCCATGGAGACATGAATTTGATGAGAATAAAGAATGAAATAAATGAGGAGTTTGCGTTGGCATGGAGATGCTGCCTAAGCGTTTGCCCCAGAGGCCTCTCAGCCTGTAGTGTGTGTGGGTGTGGCCACGGACAGAGAGGGAAACACACGCATTTAAAACCCTCTTAGCTCATGCATCACGTAAGAAAACCCAGATATCAAGCCCACGTCACTGACATACAAAGATAGAGGTTGAAATGAGCAAGTGTGTTTGTTCCGACTCTGAGCTTGTGGGAAGGGAAACGAGTTGGAGAATTTCAGTCGCTTGAGGAATCTGATTTTACAGCGAAAGGTCCAGATTGTGTGATATGACCTACTGTAAGTGCGTCACCATGCTTGAGACCTGTGGAAAAAAATGTGGAGCATCTCACTTCCTGTTTCTCCCGCTTTAAAGACACCAAGAGATCACTTGACAAGCAGTTTTCTTTCCTGTGTTAACAGACACTTCAGTGTAAAAGTCTGGTGTCGGCAAGATTTTTTAAACGTTTTCCAAAGAAGTTTCGTGTTCACCAATGCTGCATTTATCTAATCAAAAACAGTGAAAACGGTAATATTGTGAAAAATTATTACAATTTACTATAACTTTATATTTGAAAATATTTTAAAATGTTATTTATTCCTGTTGAATATTCGGCATCATTACTCCAATCTTCAGTGTCACATGACCCTTCGAGGAAATCATTGTAATATGCTGATTTGTTGCTCATACACCATTTCTTATTGTGAATGTTGAATGCTCAATATTTTTCCAGGAAGCATTTCTACATGATTTTCTGATGAATTAATAGTTGAACAGAACAGGATTTATTTGAAATAGATTTTTTTGTAACATTATAAATGTTAATCAATGTTTTGATCAATTTAATGCATTGTTACTGAAAAAAAGTATTCATTTCTTTCAAAAAAACAGACCCCTGTTTTTCTTACTGACCTCGATCTTTTGAACAGAATATATGTCCTACTGAAACACGAAGGCAAGACATACAGAATATGGATACAAGATATAGAACTACGCAAAACTCAACAGTCTCTAGGCAAATCATAACTATTTTAAGTTTCAGCAAATTATTTCTTATGACTTCATATGATGTCATTCATATGTTATTTATATGATCGGCTCACACTTCAGTGACGGTTGTGTTGGGGCTCATACGACATAGCCGCCCTGTAAAATAGTTACCATTTCCCATGAGATTGTGTTAGCGAAACTACTTTTTTTCAAAATTGATCATTTTGACTAGTCAACTAATCAGTCTTCAGGGAGCCATGTATAACAGGCTGGTTTCAGGTTCACCAGAGCCCATTCAGTTTACATATGACGGATTCAAAAACAGCTAAGTAGAGTACAACAGAATAAAACGATGCGTCTCAAAACGCACCAATGATGATGGAAAACTGAAAAAACAACATTAGGCATGTCATGACCAAATATGTCCATTCTGAATGTATACGGCTGAAGCTCAGTACAGGGTCAGCATGCTAATTAAAGCACCACCGTTAAAATATAACAAAAAAATAAACAAGAAAAATCTAAAAATCTTTTTAGAAATAACCAATAAACTTTACTTATGTCACAATCATGATTTGCTTGCTACTTGCTAGGTGGTTGCTGGGGGAGGGGCATTCTCATTCTAGAGGCAATTTGATTGGACAAAAATCTTTGTAGTGCAGGATTACTCATCAATATTTTTGTCTGGCTTTCCCAGAAGAGAAATAATGCATATTTTGAAGTTGGCAGAAACAAAAAAATCACTTTTGTGACCTATATACTGTGTCCAAGTGAAATGGCTTTTCGAAGGAGAAAAATGTGTAGGACCATGAAGAACTGATTGGATTGTTGTCGTTTGCTAACTGATGCAATCTCATGAGAGTGACAGGTTGTTTGAAGCAAGAGATCATTGTCCCGCCCTCCAGCCAGTGCAAACGCCATCAGAAAAAAAAGAGGGGGAGGGGAAGTTAATGTTTCTGATTAAAGATTAAAGGGGCACATGAATTATTAACAAATAATTATGTGCATGAATAAATCATTTAAACACGAAAAAAATAAGAATAGTCCATTTTAATTGCAAAGCAACTTCTAAAAGTGAAATGTATCACCATTTAGGATTACACTAAAACAGACAAAGACTAAAAGCCAAAAATGTTTCATTCAGACTGAGTATTTTAATCAACTCTACAGGCCTTCCTCTACTCTAATGTTTGTTTCCTAAACACACCAGCATTCATTTTTCAAGCTTAATAAATGTATGATGTTGACCTCTTCTTATAACGCTAGCTCACTATAGGGACACAAGCATTCTCTCAGGCTCTACCCAAACAGCTCTTTACTTGGAGATCAATACCCAAATCAATAGATCCATTCTCAAAACGACCATTCATTTAGCCTTAAACGTCTCAAGGGAAGCGGCTTAAATTAAGATTCCTCACGTCAAATGAATTAGCAGACTTATCTAGCCTAATCATACAGCAGCCGTAAGCAGTCCACCGAGTCTGACATACATGCAAAATGGGCCATTAACATGAACCATTAACACACATTATAGAGCAAAAGCCCTAAAAGTAATCAAGCACTGCGGCATAGTCAAGAAGAATGAAAGCCTCAAGAGGAAATGGTGTCGAGAAGAGCTAAAGGGATCGTTTTCTGGAAGGCCGAGGCCACGGGGGCTACAGTTAGCGCTGCTTCGCTCTCTTTCTTTCTGCTGGAGCAAGGCTGATGAATGACAGGGAGGTGACAAGTTGAACTCTCTCTTGTCTGCGCGCTCTCGCTTCTTCACCAACTGGTAAAGAGATTCTTCCGCCCCCTTGTATTCAGCTGCTACCGCTCCAGCCTTCTCACGCTGTGCTTATTTCCCTTCTTTCACCCTGCCTCCTCTACTGCACCCAAGCCATCGATAAAAACGCAGATGCATTGTGGGAAACGGTGCACGATACCATCTGATTTCGTCTCATAGGAGGCGGGAGATCTAAGATGTTACGAATCGAGTGCAGAGGATCATTAAAAATACAAAATGCATTTATTTCGTCCGCACTGCTGTTGTTATGTGAAGGGTCTCACAGGAGCAGGAGTTCTCCATGTATACCCAGGTGGGCTCTTTCCCTCCGGGCGCCTGGTTTTCTCATGACAACTTCAAACTTGCTCGTCTGGCAGAGCTCCACTGCTGTCTGAAAGTCCCGTTGTTTAAGTCTTTGTAGATATGGATAGGTTTATATAATCCGAATCGGAGGGAGAAAAAAATGCAGATATGCCCAGTCACATTGCAGAATAAGAGCTGCATAATGCATGGGCAAATCAGATGCGCCCGGGCTGTGTTAGTAAGCGGCGTTTACTGTATATAAATGAGCGGGTCCTGCATATTGAGACATTACATTATGTAAGAACAAGTATATGAATTGTGCATGAAAATGATCCCGGGTCCCGGTGTTAAGTGCTTCTGTTTAAACGAACTGGCTGGTTCGCTGAGCTGATTTTAACTGTGCTTGAGGAGAAACAGGTATTAAATGTGCAATTAACATGCTTGTTCACATTCTCGGGTCACATGCCGCCCGAGCACATGAGGAGGAGAATGTAGATGGAATCCGATGTGTGTCATGGTCTCCCACGGCGCCGACTGAATGCTGTTTGTCTCTGCGCTCCTCCTGTACTCCTGATACACTCTTAAAAATAAAGGTGCTTAAAAGGTTCTTCACAGCGATGCCATAGAAGAACCATTTTTGGTTCCATAAAGAACCATCTCTTTCTTACCTTTTTATAATCTGAAGAACCTTCTTTCGCCACAAAGAACCTTTTGTGAAACAGAAAGGTTCTTCAGATGTTAAAGGTTCTTTATGGAACCATTTAGACAAAAAAGGTTCTTCTATGGCATCGTGACGCACCTTTATTTTTAAAAGTGTATCTGATCAATCCAACAGCTCAAACCTCTCGCTGCTCTTGTCTGTTTATCTCCTCTGTCTCTTTTCATGTCTTTTATGTTCATCTGCTTCTCTCCTCTCATATCCTCCTTTTTTCTTCCCTTTCTGCATTTCCCTTGCTCTCTCCTCTTCATCTGCTCTCTTCCTTCTCTTATCTGCTCCTTTTTTGTAGTCTACTTATATTCTCTCCTCTTCTTTCCTCTCCTCTCTCAAATCATTGCATGTGTTCATTTCTTTCTTTTTCTCCTCTTGTTTTGCCTTTTCACATCCTCTCCTCTTCTGGAATAGGATCTCATCTATTTAACTCCTCTTCGTTCCTCTGATATTCTTCCTCTCCTTTCACTGTTCATCTTCTATTTCTCCTCTCATCTACTCCTTGTGTCTCAAATATTAATTTCTTTTCCTCTTCTTTTATTTAACTCCTCTCATCACTCTCCTTTCACCTGCTCCTTTTCTCCCTTCTCTCATATCCTCCCATCTGTTCATTGCCTCTCCTCTCCTCTCCTCTCCTCTCCTCTCCTCTCCTCTCCTCTAATCATCTGTGTTCATCCCCTGCTTTCCCTCCTTTCTTTCCATCTTTTCACCTCCTCTCCTCTTTTGGAGATAAACAGGATCTCATTTATTCATCTTCTCTCTCCTCTCACCATTCATCTCCTCTTTTCTCCTGTTCATCTGCTCTTCTCCTCCTCTCATCATCTGTAATCTTATTATCTTCCCTTCTTTCCTCTCTCAAATCACCATCTCGTGTTTATCTCCCCCTTTCTCTGTTCTCTTTTCACCTCCTCTCCTCTTTTGGAGATAAACAGGATCTCATCTATTCATCTCCTCTCCTCTGTTTTTCTTTTACTCCTCTTCTTTCCCCTCTCTCATCTGCATATTAAGTCTCCTATGTTTTTTTCCTTTCTTCTTATCTAACTTGTTTGACTCCTTTCTTCTCTCCCCTTTGAATCTTCATCTTCTCTATCTGATCTCATGTTCATCTTATTCACCCATCTGTTCATCACTTCTCATTTCTTTTCTCCTCTCTGCTCATCTGTTCATCTTCTCCTCTTTTCTTCCTTTCATCTACAGTATTCTTCTTTCCTCTCATCTATGTACTTCTCTTATACTCCCATCTGTTCCTCACCTCTTTTCTGTCCTTCTGTCATTTTTATCTCCTCTCTTCTTTTATCTTCTCCTCATCCTCGCATCTGTTCATTTCCTCCTCCCCTACTCATTCCCTCTTATTTCATCTGCTCTTGCTCCTTGCATTTGCCCCTTTTCTGTCTTCTGCTTATCTCCTCTCCCTTCCATGAACACATGCATTCATCTCCTTCCTCTCCTCTCCTTTCATTGATTCACCTCCTCTCCTCTCTTCTATTTATCCTCTCTCCTCTCATTGCTCATCTAATCTTCTCTCTCTTCTTCTTCTTTCTCATATTCTCTCTCTGGTTTTTCTGTTCATCCCCTCTCCTTTCACCTCCTCTCCTCTCACCTCTCCTCCTCATCCTCCAGTTTGTTCTTATTCTCTTCTTCCCCCAACTCATCTGCTCCTCTTATTCTGTCTTCTGTTCAACTCCTCTCTTTTCTTTTCTACTCTCCACTCATCTGTTCATCTCCTTGCCTCCTCATTCTCTCGAGTGTTATTATTCTCTTCTCTTCTTTCCCCATCTGCTCCCCTTTTTCTCCCATCTCCTCTCTGCGTATCTGCTAAATTTCTCTCCTCATCTTTTCTTCTCATCTCCTCTTTCCTTTCATCTGTTTCTCGTACTCTCTCATCTGTTCATCTCCTCTTTCATATCTTCCCATCTGTTCATTTCCTCTCCTCTTTTCTTTCCTCCTCTCACTTCATCATCTCCTGTCCTTTCTCCTCTTTCATCGCATCTGCTCTTCTCCTCTCCTCTGTTCATCTCTTCTACTTCTCACCTCACTCCTCTGGTCTCAGATCATGAGTTCATCTCATTCTTCTTCTCCTCTTCTGAACAGGAACAGAATCTCATCTTTTCATCTTCTCCTGTCACCTCTCCTCCTTTCTTCTTCCTCTGATTTCATCTGTTCTTTTTCTTATCTCTCCTCTTTCCTCTGATCTCTTATTCTCCCATCTGTTCAACTTCTCTCCTTTCACCTCCTCTTCTCTGTTCATCTTCATCTCCTCTCATCTGTTCTTCTACTCATCCTCCTCTTCCCCCTCTTATTCTTCCATTTGTGCATCTCATCTCTCCTCTCCTCTCCTCTCCTCTCCTCTCCTCTCCATTATGTAAGCTGGACTTAATGAGCGAGCAGCACACAGCACAAATCATTCTCAGCATAAATGAATGGGCCTGAACCAGCACTCTGTGTGTGTCCGTGTGTGTGAGTGTGAGTGTGAGTGTGTGTGTGTGTGTGTACATCTGTGTGATTGTGTAAGCAGACTTGATTAACAATAGCATGAGGTGATGGCAATACAGCTGGGTGAAGGTAGTGACAAATGGCAGCAGATATGTCTTTGTTTGCCATTATGTTGCATCACAAAAGAAGCGGATCTACTGACAATGACGGGTCCTTGTGTACACTGTGCCTCCTGCATATTTCATATCCCTTTGATATTAATAATAGACGATCGGCAGGCATAAACTTCACTTGCCCTAATTTTGGCTGATCTGGGCAAATATTCTGAGCACAGGGACAGACATCACACAATCAAGCACGCACACACACACACACACACACACAGTAAACTCTAAACGGTGATAATTGTAAGTATCTCTCTTCATGTGTGGCAGTGACTGTGCAGTGCTGAGTGTGGAGGGGGAGATGCTTATTCTCACATCACCCACTGCAGGCACACAGGGTGCAAGCAGAACTGGATGATGGGAAGAGATTTAGAGAGAGGGAGAGAGAGAATATTGAGCTGTTAGATGCAGATGACTCAGAGGTGTAGGTGTGTTCTGCAGCAGAGAACCGCTCTCTCTCTCTCTCTCTCTCTCTCTCTCTCTCTCTCTCTCTCGCTCTGTAGGTCGCTCTGATCAACTGATGGATTTTAACAGCTGCACTGTCCCAGACAAATCTAAGTGCATGGTGGAATTGAACTCTTCCTGTGAGACTGTGACTGAACTGGGGTGAACTCAAATGCTTTGTGTCTTAAAACACAGCGGAGAGCGACTCCTGATGCACTGAAGCTTGTGACCGTGTGACTTTCTCGGCTGCCAAAAACGGCCTTTGGTGCAGTGATTTTAACATAAGTTGTCTCAGTTTTACAGCCCGCCCATACTGCAAAACACTAATTTTTCATCAGTATTTTTGTCTTGATTTTAAAAAATAAAAAAAATAAAAAAAATCCCAATAAATCCTATATATATGCAACACACATACAACAATAATTATTGCTGTTTTTATTATTATTTTGTTTTTTTACCCTATTTGCAAACAATATGAATAAATAAAAAGTGAGTTTTATGCTTAAAACAAGAGAAAAATATTTGCCAATAGAGTAGGAAAACTAACAAACAAAACTCAACATATATTTTCTTTGAAACTAAACATTAATATCTTTAAAATTTTGCTTCTCAGGTAATTTGATCTTGTTTTAAGTATTTTTTTGTCCTTACACTTAAAAACAAGACAAAATACTAATTAAGAAAATGACTTTTGAAGTATATAGCAACTTCACTTAAATAAACAAAACTCAAGGTACTAAAACAGAATTAAAAATACTGCAGTTTCACCAGCGTGAAGGAGATGTACCATTTGGGCGAGCAGAATCACATTACAAAGAAAAATTTATCATAATAATGTCCATTATCTCTGCGTATTTTTATTTTTTGGTGCGGTTACACAAGGGCCTGCTTCTTTCAGGAGTAAGCGGCTCATACGCGAATGAGACAGCGGAAATCACGGCCAGCTGGTGTGCTGACACACTCCTGCAGATGGACGCGGGTATCAAGTACTCAACTCCATTGATTATCCACAGACACTGATAAAAGCGAAAAAAACCTCGAAAAGACAATAATCCATCGAATAGACAAAGACATGCCTTATGTGGTACGTACATTACCCTAATTTTAATTTTAAACTATTTTTCCCTCAATTCTCACCTCATAGTAATGTGATGACAGGTAAGGAGGGAATTAACACACACACACATACACGTTGACGCGCATACAAGGGATCAAACTTCAAAGTGACAGCTACCTTCACAGGTAAACTTAATACGGAAACACCTCGAGCGCTTGCTCGCTTTGCCGCCTTTTGTTTTCGTCGGCCTTGTTCATTCTTTGAACTTCCAGTCGGGTGTTTTGGAGTTTATTTTTGTATTTGAGGTCAGGATTGTGCATTCTCACTCAAGCTCTCGCTGTCTTGCTGCTCTTTAGTCCTGTTTGCTGACGGTATCAAAGCAGGTTGTCACGGATATACAGTTAACACGTGCAGACGGCGTCAGATAACAAACTGCATTATGTACACACACAGATGCTAATGCACAGACGCTCTTTATCGACTAATGTCTGAAAATACATCCGACCCTGCTGCAAGACATGGCACAGATAGTTATGGAAGCCCGTTTCAGCCACTGAATAAAAATAAAAATAGAATATTGTGACTTTTTATCTCCCAATTTTTCCCACAATTGCGAATTTGCATCTCACAATTCTGAAATTTTTTCTCAGAATTGCATGATAAAAACCTTTTTGCAAGTTTATATCGCACAATTCTGACTTTATAACTCACAATTGCAAGTTTATATCTCACTATTTTTTTCTCGCAATTCTGACATCTTTTCTCAGAATTATGACATATTACGGAGCTACGCATATGACATGCAAAGAAAAAATAAGTAAATCGTGCGCACGATTTACTAATTTGTTCCCTGCACAATTTATTAATTCGGTCTCTCGAATTATAAATCGTGTGCACGATTTAGCAAATCGAGGGAACGAATTAGTAAATTGTGCACACAATTTATAAATCGAGGGAACGAAATAGTAAATCGTGCACACGATTCAGCCTACTATTTTTTTCCTGCATGCCATGTGTGGGGGTCCGTAACATATAAAGTCCAATACTGAGGAAAAAAAAGAGAGACTATTTTTTTTACAGTTGCAAGTTTATATCTCACAACTGACTTTAGTTTTACGAATTGCATTTATATCTTGCAATTCTGACTTTATAACACGCAATTGTGAGAAAAAAGTCGGAACTGTGAGATAAAAAGTCGCAATTACCTTGTGTTAATTTTTATTCAGTGGCAGAAACGGGCTTCCATACATAGTCACTTAAATGCATGTCAAGCAAAACCATCCTTTTAGTACTTTTTATATTTATCTTCATATTGTATGTGAGGAAAGGAGGAAAGAATAGGGAAGTACCTGTGACAGGTGCCTCTATGTCCAGCATGGTCTTCTCCTGGCGTAAGATAGAGGCCCCATCATTTATGATTCGAAGGGCCACGGTCTCCTCCACTCGGCCCTCTTTAGTGAGGTGGGCTTTCAGTAGATCCACCCTTGGTTTCCCCTCACAGTCAAACACCTCCTTCATGGTGAGGCGGTGACTCAGGGGGAAGGGAACGGCTGAGGGAAACACAAAACAGAAAGTATACATTAGAACTTGATTGTTATAGTCACTTTTGATAAATCAGTTATGTTGTATTAGCATAACTCAGTGGTCAGTTGCAACTATTCTCTGGGCAAGGGCGTGTCTACGTGGTGGCCAGGGGTGGCACCGGCCCCCCCTGAAATTTGGCTGGCCACCCCAGGTGCCCCCCCTACCAGATGTCTTGCGATAGGCTTGTTTTTAGTAAATTTCTTTCACTCACACATAACTGGACGTGTGCTTTTAAATATTGTTCTTTTAGTAGGCATGAGGACCGCTTTCTTCTCTTCTTTATGCTTAATTTTAGGCGGTTTCTATAGTGTGATCTTAATGGCAATGTCGAGATCGCATAATGTTACGCGATCCGTGTGCGCGAGGACGAATCTCTCCACTCCCAAGCGGATTTCCTTCACTCACACAAAACTGGACGTGTGCTTTTAGATATTGTTCTTTTATGAATTGGTTTTGCTCTCACTCAGATATTGCTTGTACACGCTCAAACGTTGTCTTCGCATCACTGAAGACGAAGAGCTTTTTTTCTAATTCAGGTGAGGAGTAGGCTTTTCTCACTAAATGGAAGCAAGCTGATTATAGTCAGCCTTCTCTAGTTATTTATTTTATTAATAGCCTGCTTATTTCAGTTAAGTGCTTAAATTGTAAATATGCATTTATTCAGTTATTTTATGTAGTGCATTTGTATTTTGTTGTTTTTGTATATAGTTTTGCAATAAAAGCGTATCAACCAGGTTCCAGAAATAATCACTGAGGGTGCTTCTGAAATGAGTGAGGGTGCTCTAGTCTAAATGCACATTTTCACATATTTTGTCCCGTCTGTTGCTATGGTTATCACTATGTCAATCACTGCTACTTCGAGAGTGAATCCCGCATAAATATACTGACGTCATTCCCGAAACTTTGCAACGTGTGTGTGGCCGAAAAACAAAGTTCTAGGCTATATTTTAAATGGATTATTGACTAGAAAGCTTGCAAAGAGTGCTCATAACCACTAAAAAGCTTTGTTTAGTGAGTGTACACGATAATTATAACATACATCATCCCCCCCCCGTGCATTCTTGATGAAAAAAGTATGCATTTCTTTCAAAAAATATGAAAACATAAATAAATAAAATAGATGGAGTTAGCATGATAACAGTTAACATGCTAAATAAAGCACCACCACTAAAAAAAAATAAATAAATAACTGACCTCACTTATTAATTAGATGATGGTTAGAGTCAACTAACCTAGTTGACCCATTCTTAAAACATAAATGACTCTCTGTTAACTTAACTCCACAAAAAAACTGTTTTTCTTTAATCATGTCTGCCTAACATCATCGTTTGCTCGTTAAGCTCACTTACAGCAATGCAAAATTGGCCTTTTATCACAAAAACAAAGCCAGAGCTGCTATGAGTTAGTTGACTGACAAGTCATAATAACAGCTGCTTATTAAGCTTCCAAAGAGCTGGATGTGAATCATTGATAAAGGTGCCGATTCTCAGCTGCGTGAAAATTCAATTTAGAAATTAGACGGAGAAAACAATATCTGCACCAAAAATTGGGGCAAAGGCAGTTTCTTTCTGTTATGACTCACAAATGTGTACACTGATAATGTGGGACTTGGCTTCAACAAAACATTGGCATGGTGAATTATTTACGCATGTGTGCTTGCGAAGATTCGCCCCACACTGTACAGAAATAATTACTGAGTGCAGTTACAGTGCCATTGAGAAGAAATGCTACACATTGTTCATTGTCCATGATGACACAGTCATTCAGAGCAGGATTTCAGAATAAGACTTCAGATATGTGGGCAATTCAGTGAGAAAAACATGCATTTTGGATTGCTGAGTAGAGGCTAGCAGCAACATACACAGCTCAGAGAGAGAGAGTTACAGTAGGGGAACTGGGAGGGAAGCTCAGGGCAGAGACTCGTGATCAACACAAAGCTAAACGTGATCAACACAAAGCTAAATAATTCATGTTTGACTTGAGGGGGAAAAAAGAGAAATCTCATGTTCCTGCTGCTGGGATAATGAGACTAGGCCTAGCATAGGATTTTAACAGCAGTAAAAATACATCCCATTCAAGTGTGTGTGTTCTTGCGTTGCTTCTGTATATGTTTGGTCTCCTTGGTCATGTGAATTTTAATAAATCGAAACATGTGGTCACATTAGTGAAAGTTCAGCGAATTTTCACTGGAAAAAAGGTCCATTGTTTATTGTCTATAGTGTAGAAATGTCACTATTTTTTAAACCAAGCAGCTTTCTGTTGGTCAGAACCAATTTGAACCTGTTGCGAAATCTGTAAGGAAACCTTTTCCCCTCATGCTTGCACTTCCAATCACATTCCTATTGAAATGGCTGAATAAAAAGTTGGCAGAACAATGCTAAATATGGCCGCTTATTAATGTTTCATATGTTGACTATAATGCAAGATATACTGTATGTACAAGACATTCCGGAAGCCTATTAATATATGCTGTTAGTCCTCTAGCCACTAGCATGTAAAGCATAAACACATTTTGTTGTAGTTATCACTTATGGAAAGCACCAACGGCAATGTTCACACAGCCTTTCTGCGGCTTGCTATCCATTCCAGTGAAATGTGCATGAAATTTTATATGCATTGGTGTACAATATTTTCATTTTATTAAAATAGAAAGTCTGATTAGGGGGAACTAGAACCCAGATCCCCCATATGCAATAAGGTAACATCATTAAAAAAATCTAATTAAAACCCCAAATTGCACTAAAATTATTTATTTATAACTTTGGTAATAGCAACATTCCCTGTTTTGACATGGAAATAAATAAATACTTGATCTCCAAGATCAATATCTCATGTAGACATTGTTTATCAAAACAGTGAAAGATTATGCTAAATAATTTCTGCATAAGGTAATTAATATTCATGAGCCAAGCCTTCACCATTTTGTGAAATCAGAAACAGCACACATCTCTGTATTCTCCAACTGTCCAGACAACTTTTTTAAACAAAGCAATGCTCTGTCTTTTGATTGCAGACTTTGCTATTTTGGGAAAACCGAGGACAATGTAAAACACTGCTGAGATCTCTTCTGAAACATCTGAGGAGACACATGTGAGATTACTAGGGCCTTTTTCTCTAGAGAAAAGCAGAAAAAAATTCCTGTAGCTTACCTATAAAACAGATCTTAAAAATAAAAAATATTAGTGCCATCAATAGATTAAAATAATTCATCATGATTATTCTAATGACTTTTTTTTGGTAGTTAACACATTTAGGTCATTTAAGACAAGAAAATATCTTTGTAATTATGACAAATCCACTTTATTTCAAACTTTTTTATTATCGGAAACTGGTAGTATTGATAAATTAATTATCCACAATTTATTTTGTGATTCCAGAAATTTCAAAAACTGTTTGTTTTTCAATTATTGGAATAGATATTGAGGGAAAATAAAAATAAATATGTTTTAAAGGGGTCATAGGATGCTACATGCACTTTTACAAGTTGTTTGAACTGAAATGTGATGGCAGTGTGTGTACACAACCACCCTATGATAAAAATCCACCCCGTGTTTTTTTTAATCTACTAAAATCTTTACCCCTTTCTCAAATCGAGTTGATCTCAGATGCCTGTCTGTGTGATGTCACAAAAACTGGCCCCTCCCACGATAGTTTGACAGTAGCGTTTCAGCACAGACTGGACTGGTGTCTTACCTTAGACCCGCCCTGAGTGAGCTGTCATCAGTCCGCCAGTGTTTCACCGCCGGAGCAGATATAGACAAGAATGACTCCTAAGCGACTGAGGTGTTCTGTTGTTGTAATAACAAACATAGCAGTCATCATTTACTCCCGACATCTGAAGATGCAGTGGATTACATACCATTGAGAAATTTTAACCAAACTATGTTACAGACTTTTCATTAAGACCCTAAAGCAGTGGTCGGCAACAGGCGGCCCGCGGGCCAAAACTGGAACGCCAGCAATAATATCTGACCCGCGCCCGCAGCCAGATTATTTTGATAGCGGCTGGTTCTGAAATAGATCTGTCACGAGTCATGACAGCAACAGTTACTCACAATCAGAGTATGTGAGCGGAGCCCGGAGTGGAGCGGTGTGATTTTGACTGGAGCGAGGAGCGGATAGCGTGATTTTCACTCGCTCCAAGAGCGCTCCATCACGAGTACAATTCATGCCATCAGCCCGTAATATAACTGCATATTTAGCATGAGTTCACATGTTAAAGGGGTCATATGATGCGATTTCAAGTTTTCCTTTCTCTTTGGAGTGTTACAAGCTGATTGTGCATAGATAAGATCCCTGAAGTTGCAAAGACTAAAGTCTCAAAACCAAAGAGATATTCTTTATCAAAGTTAAGACTCTGCCACGCCCCCCTAAAACGGCTCATTCTAACACGCCCCCACATATCTACCACACTATATGGAAATATTTGCATAATGCCACCCAAATGTTCACGCAAAGAAAGAACGCGTGGTTTCAGTAACCGCAGTTAGGGTTGAAGCAGCCATGTCAGGGAGACGCTGTGTGTTTCAGTGCGAAAGCAAAAGCACTTTATTTGGATCACTTACAACAGAACAGCAATGCATTTTATGGACGACCGTTCCGTGAACCTAGGAGAGGAGGTAATTCTGACTTTGCTATGACAATCTGGCGCTTCTGAATCAGCTACTGTTTTGTTATTAGTTTAAGTATTTGCTATTGACTGTTCAAATGCGGAGTGTTGGGCATGTGTGTGTGTGTGTGCGCGCGCGCGCATGTGTGTGTGAGAGAGAGAGAGAGAGACAGCGTCACATCACAGAAGAGTCAGCTGTCTTAA